GAAATGATAAAACACAAAATATCACCTCTGGGCAAACACTTTTCGCAAAATGTTCACTCCATTTCTGACCTCCCAATCCTCATCCTCAAAGGAAACCTGTGCAATACCTTCAAAAGATGAGCCTGGGAGATTAAATGTATAACTTTACTAGACATGAAAAATCATGCCCCTAATAAAGACTCTGGATTTATGGCATATTACAACAATCTCGTAATCCCCTAACCCCCCTTTTTGTCCTATGACCGGTGAGGTGTTAACAGGCCACTTCACCTTGAATGGTTCTTACAGTGTGTTCATGTATCGGATAAAGTGGGTTCTAGCTCACGAAAGCTGATGCCCAAATAAATGTGTTAGTCTCTAAGGTGCCACAAGGACTCCTCCTTGTCTTTGCTGATACAGACTAACACGGCTGCCCCTCTGAAACCTGTTAACTACTTATGTTAATCTCTTCTAACTTGTATTTAGTGAGTACCTTTCCCAGACCTGAAGAAGAGCTCTGTGTAGCTCCAAAGCTCAGCTCTTTCACCAACAGAAGTTGGTCCAATAAAAGATACAGAACTGAATCACAGAATCACCCACCTTGTCTTTCTCATATCCTGGGACCAACATAGCTACAGCAACACTGCAAACAGTATCTTGAATTCATCATGCTGAACAGCTCACACAAAATCTGTGCTTTGTGCAAACTCTGAAGTATCTATTGTGGATCTGTCTAGTTCTGCTAGGTACTTTTTTCATGCACTAGGGTGGTATTTCACTTTCACATTGGCTACTGTAAGCATTGTTAAGAAAGCTATTAGCAATGGTAGGTTTTTGAACACAGCAATTTCCTTCACATTATTTTCCAAATAGGTGCCCTCTCTGAATGTCACTCTAAAGGTCTGGGTCAGTGGTATTATAATTGCTCCAAATCATGAGTTAAAACTGATGAGTTTGCTGCCTTTACAAAAATGAACACTTTGTTAGCGTCTACTTTTCTCATTCCACTAAGTGACAGGAGATTTTGATTACAGGCCATTTCACTATAATCTGCCTCAAATGTTATAAGGCTTTTTGGGCTCATCTCTGCAACTGAATTAACAGGATTGTGAAGTTGGTAAATGGACACTGTCAACTCAGATTTGGCACATAATTTACATTATGTAAAATAAGCTTTTACCAAATCTCAGACTAATAGAAATGTATGTTTCCATTAGCATTCATTTTAAAATTCCATTGGATTCAGTTGTTTTTAAACAAATAAACAGTACACTGAGGTGTTTGCAAATGCTGTGGCCACAAGAATCTTAAAGGGAAACTAACTTCAGTGCCCAAGATGAAAGAGGACAGCAAAAAGCATTCAAACACACAAAATAGAGAAGAATAAACTGGATTTTTAAAAATTCTCCATAGGGGTTAATGCTCTAAAGTCATTAGTAATACAGGTAAATGTGTTTATAATATAATTTTAAATATTATCAATTAAATATCACTTCAGTTTGGGAGCTTGCTTACAAAACATGGAGTAATGGGTGAGCAGCTCTTGACAATAGTAGGACCTTTTTGAAATGGCAGGTCCTGAATGTGCAATGTGCTTGGTATAACTTAGTATGCTCTCTGACCCTTCTGTCCTCCTACATGATAATATATTTCATGAAAAATCTATCAAGATAAGAATAATATATTTTTGCTTGGGGGATGGGGGTGAGGTAAGCTGTGACAGCCCTTGCCAGGTGATTTTTCATTTCTGAAAATGTCAGTGTCACTAGAACATCAAATTCCTGTACCAAAAAGTCATGTTACTGACAGTTTTTCTTGGATTTATACAGGGTAGTTGTCATTTTGTCCGTTCATCGTTTTTACTTTTCAAAGCAGTTTTTTAAAAAAATTAAACACCTACTGTTTAACACATACCACCTGCAGCCAGAAAACTACCACCCCCTTATGTAGAAAGGCCGATAAATATACAGTGCAGTGATGGTCTAAAACACTGAGTCAAATTCATCCCTGGTATAATTCTAATGAATTTGACTCTAAAGTCTACAACAGCCACTGAAAGAATACTCCAGTATGTCTAGAAAGCATGGCCTATGAGGGAAGATTGAAAAATTTGGGTTTGTTTAGTCTCGAGAAGAGAAGACTGAGGGTGGACATGATAACAGTTTTCAAGTACATGAAAGATTGTTACAAGGAGGAGGGAGAAAAATTGGTCTCCTTAACTAACCTCTGAGGGCAGGACAAGAAGCAATGGTCTTAAACTGCAGCAAGGGTGGTTTAGGTTGGACATTAGGAAAACTTCAACTGTCAGGGTAGTTAAGCACTAGAATAAATTGCCCAGGGAGATTGTGGAATCTCCATCATTCGAGATTTTTAAGAGCAGGTTAGACCAACACCTGCCAGGGATAGTCTAGTCTAGATAATACTTAGTCCTGCCATGAGTGCAGGGGCTCTCTGAGTGTAGCTGACCTCTTGACTTCATTTCAAGTCCTACAGTTCTATGATTCTATGTTTAGAAGGGTTAAGATTATGGGATTCCCTTCAACAACCTCTCAGAGTGAGCACAAATCATACCAAGGACTAACTTAAAAGCCCATCTTTTCAACATAGCATTCCCAAATTAAAATAAGAACCAAGTCCAAAACTTCTAACCTGCTGGTGGGGAAAGGAGTGGAGAAAACATCTGCTTGTTTACTTTGAGTAACCTCTGTAAGGTGTTCAGATATTTAGACTACAGCAACTATCTTTTGTATATTCACTGTCCAGCACAATGTGCCCTGATCTTGACTAGAGACTCTGGATGGACCAGTAATATGAATTAATAATCATACACTACAGAGACCGGGGTAGAATAGAAAGATTTTTTTACACTCTCTGCTATTTTTATTACAGCTTTATGTAAAAGTCATAAGGATGGCAGCAGCACTTGACGTTCAGGTAGAATAGTCCCCCGCAGAACAAGCCTTTCACTCCCTGCTCTGGGGCAGAGGTGGGAAAGAGAAAGCTGCAGAGGAGATCTCAGGCCAGGCCAGGCCACTGGGCTTTGGCACAGGGTAAGTTCTTTACAGGGCTAAGGGAGCACCATTCCCCCTCCAATTTGAGAACCAGGGCCCAGAGCCACATGCAGGTATTTAGGGGCAACTGCCATTGCTATGTGCCTAAGCCAGTTTTTCTTTGCCCCTTCTCTCCGGAAGGAAGCCAACATTCAGCAAAGCACTTAACAGGTTGCTTAATTTTAAGCAGGTGAGTAAACCCATCCCTAATCAGCAAAGTAAGCCAATTAGATTATTCACCTGCTTAAAATTAAGCACCTGAAACTCCCCCTCCCCCTCCCCATTTCATCCCCGGCTGAAATTCACCCTGGTGCACAGGACCAACAGGCACATTTAAGGAATGCATGTTCTTTTTGCTACCCCTCTGCGGGGGTGGATGAACAAAATCAGCGGCCCCTTTCTTGATTGATTTGTATTAGATCTAGGGTGGTAGTTGTCCCTTTGAGACAGCCGGTGTTAATACACTTACACCTTTATTTTTACTTTTTGTATGGTTGTAGGACAGCGTGCGGCCCAGAGGGGGTAACGCTGTTGCTGCCTAACCTGGCACGTTGTAAACAACTTCTGCCAGCCTCGGCTGTCCGGGTGGCGGAGAGATACCTACCGGCCCACCTCCGGCCATTCAGCCGGGGAGCCGGTCTATCTGCCGGCTCGGGCGGGTGGAGCCAGGCCGGCGCAGGCTCCCTTACCTTGTACACGTTGACGGGGATGTCGATGGTGATGTGGAGCAGGTCCCCCAGGGCCAGGCTGGCGATCAGGATGTTGGGGCCGTTCCTCATGCACTTGTTCTTGTAGATGATGCGCAGCAGGGTGGCGTTGCCGATGATGCCCAGCACGAACACCAGGCAGGCCACCAGCGTGTTGATGTACTTGAACGTCTCCTTCACCTCCGTCTGCCCGGTGCACATGGGCGGAGACGGCGAGCGGGCTCGGCCGCCGCCGGGCACAGCCGAGCCGGACGCGTTGGAGCCCGAGCCCTTGAGCCCGGGCGTGCGGGCGGTGTGGGTCACCGCGGCCCCCGGGGAAAGGGGGCTGTGCTGCGGGGCGCCCCCCGGGCGCGGGGACCCCTTCTCCTCCCAGGCGGCGCAGCAGCTGAGCAGCAGCGCGGGAGCGAGGAGGCGCCAGAGGCCGGGTCGGTGCATGCCGCTGCCGGGAGCGGGGCAGAGCCGAGCGGCGCCGGGTCACCCTGCAACAGAGAGACAGGAGACGGGGATCAGCCCGGCCGCGGGTGTCCAGGCGCAGCGCCAGCCCCGCCGCCACAGGCTGTCTACACGGCAAGCGAGGCACCCGCGGCTGGCCCGGGCTGACTCCGGCTCGGGGGAAGGGGCTGGGGCTGTGCAGTGTAGACGTTCCGGTAGGACCCTCGCCGGGTCACGCGGGGGGAGCCCTTCTCCCCGCACTGAGCAAGAGCCGGGAGAGGAACATTTAACGCGGCTCAGAAGGGGGTCCCTCCTGCCAAACCGGGGGGAGGCTTTAAAAGGAGAGGCGCCAGCCCCCTCCCCCCCTTTGCAAAACGCACCGAGCCCCGCGGAAACCCCACTTCCTTCCCTGTCCCGGCCAATGCCCCTTTCAGAGAGGGAGCAAGCCGCGATCTCCCTCCCGCAGCCCGAGGCGGGCGCGCTCGAGGTCTGGAAACGGCGAAATACAGGCAGTGAAGTGCCGATTGGCACCGACTTTCGCGGAAACGTCAATCGCAACTAGCGAGAGGAAAACCCGAGAAACAATCGGAACGGAGATTCCCACCGCATCGCCGCCCCCCCCCCCCCCGCCGCCGCCGCCTTAGCTGCCCAGGCTTGCAGCCCTCACCCCAGTCCCTCGGGAGGGGTTCCTCTCAGCCCCCTCCGCATCCTTTATCAGTTCAAAGAGAAGCCCCAAGGTTTCTTTTCTCCCCCCGGGAAGAAAACGCGTGTCCAGTGGCTCGTCCTCAGCTTGCTATAAACATCTATTTACCTTTCAAATCCTCCCAGCACAAAGCAGCTGCCAAGGGCTGGTTCCTGCTTCCCAGCGCTTGCCTGCGATTCAGCACCCGCGCTCTGAAGGGCGCTGCCGCCGCAGGAGGGACTGGCTCTTGCGAAACGAGTAAGTGGATGTCGGTAGCAAAGCAGCCTCTCCTTGCTCTTGGTGTGCGCCTAAATCCAGTAAATTAGGCGAATCGTTTTTTTTTTTTTTTTTTTAAATTCAGTCACATCTTTCCCATCAATCACTGCCAGACTCCACCCGGAGTCCCTCCTACAGAGCAACAAACTTTCGTCCTGTCCCTTTGCCAGACTCTGGCTCCCCCAGATGCCTGGAGAGCATCAACAGAAAGTTTCCTGCTAGCAAAGGCACGTAAGGGTCAACTGTGGCCAAATCTGCCAGCTAAATGGGCCGGTTAAGTGGTTGATTTCGTATTGGGTTAGGGAGTTTTAAAATGATCTGGCCACATACAAATAAAATAAAAAAAGTTAGTTCAATTCTTCTAGGTTCCTAGAGCAGAGGTTCTTACAACACATTTTTTTGGTGGCCAACTCTTGCTGGTGGCCAGTCTGATAATTTTTCCTAAAATACTTAACTTTAGGAAAAACAAATAAATATGCACATATACATGCCCAAATCATTGTAATTTATTTATGTAGGATTTTTTTTGCAAACTCAACAATAAAAATAATATACAGTTTTCTCTATTCTTTACTGACCCTAAATAGAATAGAAACACAAATAAGGTGCTTTGCATTTTCTTGTCTTTTTTTTCTTGTTTCTTTTGCCTTTTTGGTTGCTTATTTCTTTAAGACTTGCTAGCTACTAAGTCTGCTGTGAAAAGTGATATTAACAAACATACAAATATCACTTTTCACAGCAGACTTACACAGCCCTGGCAAGCCCAGGGACAAATTAAGCCCAGGATGGGGAGGTGGGTACAGAGCAGCTGGGGCCAGGGACAATGGGGTCCTAGGGGAGGCAGCAGTAGCCAAGGGTGATGGGGAGGGGGGAAGCTCGTGCCCAGAGCCTGCCACCCTGCAGCCAGGGAACGGAGCCCAGGGGACAGGGCCTGGGGATGGAGCCTGAAGCACTGTGGCTGGAGCCTGCCACCCACTGCTCCCGTGAAGGTGGGGAACTCACTGGCTACCTGTTTCTCCAGCTTGTGTATCTCCGGGGGGGCCCAACCACTGCTGGTGGCCCTGAGGGAGGGGCCACTGCTTTCCCCCTCTCTCCCATCACCACCCAGGAGGCTGTTGCTGCATTTGCGAAACACTGTTGGTGAAACCAAACAGGTTGTGTTTTTGCAACTGGGTTCTAACATAACCATATTGACAACCTGTCTTAAATATGCATATTTAATATTAAAGGATTAAATACAGTAACAACTAGTCTACCAGATTATGGGGCAAAATAATCAAATGACTCCTTGTTCTGGGCCTTTGAATGTATCTTTCTTGGTCTGTCTTCCTATCTGAGTCTTGGAATGACCTGAGCATGTTGTCAGCCCAATAATAATTTTTTTATGAGATTCTTTATTACTAAAAACCATCTCGTACCTTTAACTAGTGAAAAGGGGTCATGTTACCACTAGACTCCAGCTTTGCCCAGATTCTAGTTTGAGTTTCTGCTGATATTCACTCTGCCTTTTCAGTTGAATATTTTAGCCTTTACTTTTGGTTCTAAATTGCTGTGTAGTATTGTGTGCTACAATAGCTGTCACATGCCCCACATCCAACACCCCTTGCCTCAGCAGTATTTACTGGTAAGAGTAAGAGCCTAAAGTGATGGGAGGTTTGCCTGAGAGAGAGGAGTGCAGGGTTAGTACCGTAGGTTTTTAAAGCGCTTTGTGGGATGACGGGTGTTATGTATGATGTTCTTATTAAAAGCAATTTTCTTATGATTTACACTAAGTTACAGCCAGCTAATCTGATTAGCTCTTTGCCAGTTTAGGCAGCTTTAGAGACTGTTCTCAAATAGGGGCTGGAGTCACGGGGCTCATTATTAGAGCTTAGGAGGCATATAGATTTACGCAATGTTTTCTTCCAAAAGTCACAAACAATCTCTGAAAGTTAGAAGGAATGTTGTGTTTGGTTAAAGAGACTTCAATTTAAAAACCTTTTCTAACATCAGTACTTATTTATCTAGGATCTCAGTTAAATCACACTGAAGGCCAAATTCTGTTGTCATCAGCATGTGTGTGGAAACACTGTAATTTATGTAAGTGGCTCATGGCTTTCACATAAATTGTGATGTGTCAGGGAAACACTGTATAAACTGAGTTTTTTAAAGTCTCTCCATAGTCTGGCTTCAGACTGATTGCTCAGCCCCTCTTTTATATCAGTTGTAAAATAAAGTCTCAGGAATCAGTTCTGATTTGTACCAGTGTAAATGAGAGTAGCATATGGCCCAGCTGGACGAGATTCACTAAAGTAATGGTTTTCAGGATCAAATCACAATTTTGTATTTTGCAGTTATAACACCACAGGCCAAATTCCACTCTCATTGACACCAGTGTAAATTTGTATTAACTCTACAGAAGCTTTGAAATCAATGGAGTTACACCACATCTTTCACTGGACAGTCCTGTACCCTGCAAGTTAACTGTATTGTGCAAGTTAACAAACTTCATTATTTGTGCCTCAAATTTGTGGAGTTCAACAAGTTACCAACCTATCTGCTAGTGCAGCCAGGATTCCAGACAGTTGCTGGTACTTTAAGCACCAGGTGGTCTGTCCTGCTCAGAGGAGGTTTACATCATTACATGGCATAGCACTTAAAATGCTGTCGGCCGCCAGCACCTTGCCTACAGTAGGTTTCTTCTGTTATCACTAGTGGAGCTCAATCGACAATGTTGAGAAATGTTCGGTGAAAAAAATCCTAGGATAGACATAGCAAGAGTTGTTAAATGGACAATCCTCCCTGCTCCTCTTCCTGGCTATTTTTACAGGGGATAGAAAACTTGGGAAATAAAAAGAAAAATATGAAAGACATAATGTTGCCCCAAAGTCTTAGGTAGCCAATGAATAGGTAAAGAGAAGAAACGTTCTAAATGAACTGGGTGTGGGCATAAAAATAATACTTTGTCTCTGCATGTAACGTCATATGATTATGTAGTACAGGAATCAGCAACCTGTGGCATGCGGCCCAGGCCGGTCTGTTTACCTGCCGCATCCACAGGTTCGGCTGATTGCAGCTCCCACTGGCCGCGGCTCGCTGCTCCAGGCCAATGGGGGCTGCGGGAAGTGGCAGCCAGCACATCCCGCATGCCAAAGGTTGCCAATCCCTGTCCTAGGGGAACAATCCCCCCTCAATATATCATTACAACGTTTATTTTTCTTTTCCCCCGATATTTAAAATCAATGCAGCCAGCACACTTTTATACATTTTAATTTTAAGTTGTCTTGTTTGAAATGTTGCATTCACAACATGGATGAAGATGTACACACTTAAATCTTTGATGGAAAGTAATTGAAAAACCTGAAATGCAATCTGTTTTTGTTTCAGAAATGAAGGTGACCATGTTTACTTTTGAATTCCAGATGCAGCATAAGATTGGATCTTCTTCTTCCTGGAAGCCTAGATAAGGTCAGTCATAAAGAACCATTGGGAATGTATCTGTGACTGAGAAAAGTATGAGCTGGCTCAAGGGATGTGATAGCCAACCATCTATTGTTTATTTTACTACCTACAAATTACTTTAGGAGAGCCTACCAAGTAATGGTGAAATCTAGCAGACATCCTATGTCTGAGCTACCATGATTCACTTATTCCTGCTTTTCTCAAGCATTGTAGAAAGCTTATTCTAACATGAACAGAACTGTCATATAGATGAAAGCATAGATGTGAGTGTATAAAGCTGAAATGATTCTCCTGAAAAATTCCACCCCAGTGAAATCAGATAGTTAAGGACAAACAAAACCTGGAATGCAGCACAAATCCCAAGTAGCCAGACTATTTGCTAGGGATGTCTGTTGGGGATGAATGGGGAATATCCTCCTCTTCTCAAGACTCAGGGCTGCAATCCTACTCATGGCTGGTGCCTTTCCTCTCCATGAAGGAGAATTAATGATCGATCAGCATAATTAATGAGATTACTTACCCAAGTAAATTAGCAGGATTTAACCTTAAGTGAAAAGGATTGCACAGGATACCTTAATGTAGAGGTGAGCAAACTACGGCCCGCGGGCCATATCCAACCTGCGGGACCCTACGGCCCGGCCCCTGAGCTCCTGGCTGTCCCCCCTCCCACACAGCCTCAGCTCACTGCGCCGCTGGCTCAATGCTCTGGGTGCGGGGGCTGCAAGCTTCTGGGGCAGCGCAGCTGCAGAGCCCGGCCTGACCTGGTGCTCTGTAGCACCGCCAGGCATCTGTGCTCCAGGCAGTGTGGTAAGGGGGCGGGGGCGGGTTGGATAGAGGGCAGGGGAGTTCGAGGGGGTGATCAGGGGCTGGGCGTCTGGACAGGGGTCGGGGCGGTCAGAGGGCGGGAAACAGGGGGTTTGAATGGGAGCAGGTGTCCCAGGAGGGTAGTCAGGAATGAGAGGAGGGGGTGGATGGGACAGTGGGGGGCAGTCAGAGGCGGGGGGGGTGTTTGGGGACAGTCGGGGACAGGGAGCAGGAGGTGGTGGATGGGATAGGAGTCCTGGAGGGGCTGTCAAGGGGCGAGAAGCAGGGGAGTTGGATAGGGGTCAGAGGCCGGGCCACACCTGGCTGTTTGGGGAGGCACAGCTTCCCCTAACCAGCCCTCCATACAATTTTGGAAACCCGATGTGGCCCTCAGGCCAAAAAGTTTGCCCGCCCCTGCCCCAATGGCTATTACCCACTATGTACTTTAACAGTTTACAATGCTACCTAGAGGGGTGTTCGCAGTGTTGTTGTAGCTGTATTGGTCCCAGGATATGAGAGAAACAGGATGGGTGAGGTAATCTTTTATTGGACCAATTTCTGTTGGAGGAAGAGACACGCTCTCCAGCTTCACAGAGCTCTGCTTCAGGTCTGGAAAAGGTAACCAGAGTGTCAGAGCAAAATAACAATCTGTCCCACCTTGTATTTAGCTGTGACACTCTGGTTACCTTTTCCAGACCCAAAGAAGAGCTCTGTGTGAAGCCTGAAAGCTTGTCTCATCTACCAACAGAAGTTGGTCCAATAACCTCACCCACCATGTTTTTACTCACATAGATTATTAGAATCCATCCATTGGTTCACAAAACCCCAGAAAGGGTAACAAACCTTCATGATGTCCCTGTGTGCTCAATTTTTTTTGTTAGGTCTAAAATATGTAAAAATTGCACATGGGCAGTCAGGCATTAATCAGGCATCTGAGGAGGCTCCTCTGCAAAGTATATCCCAGCAGATATGTTGCACTCAAAAATGCACTCCTGATATGTTAGTCTCAGTCAGGAGTATGTAGATAATTTGTGTGTAATGCTGCAACCGCGTCAGTTGTTGTTTTGGAGCTTACTAGCAATATACATGTATTCTGTATCTATCCTAATGCACTCTGTGGAAGGTGGCAGTATTCGGGGGAGGGGGGTGATAGTCTGTCACCTCTTTAGGAGCCATTCCCATGCAGTGCTGAGCACTTCCTGAGCTCCATTTCAGTGGGAGTTGAGGTTGCTCAGCACCTCTTAGGAGGACCCCAAATCTCTGCTGAATCAGGACCATCGACCCATCCCACTTTTTTGACACTGTGTATGTGGAGGTCTAAGATCAGCACTGAGCCCTACCTTTTGTTCTTTGTCAAACTCGGCACATTTATTTAGATCCTTGTTGAGTGTTACTTGAACTAAAAAACCAACATCTCTGAAGATACTGCTAAAAGATCAGACTCTGAACGTTTGTACTTCTGCATAGACATTCTGGAGTTATTGTCACTGCAGATCCGCTAAAGAGCTCATCAGGGGCATGCAGTGACCAGTACTTAGTTCTTTCAAAATTATGTACTGTTTATTGGTGTTGGACAGGTTTATAACACAACGTGGTCTCCACCAATTTAAAAAAAAAAAGTGGTCATAGAGTAACACCTACTTCTCCCCTTATATGGTAAAGGCTCCAACTCCATGTGTGAATTGTACACACATCTATATTTAGTACCAGAGGAATACATACTATCAGCCAAAAAGAAACCGGAATTCTGTCTCCAGATGCTCTTTTTATAGAAAATGGCTTCTGGAGAGAGGCTCAAAATCATGACTTTGTTTTTGACAGTACTAAGATGTTTCTGGCTTCAAAATATTGAATTACATTATTTTCTAAAATTAGCTTGAGTTGCAAATACATAACACTTCTACCAGAATATATTTTGTACAGACTCAATATTGTTTACTACTTGGTGGTTATGGCATGATAGGATTTTGTCATATTTTAAAAAAAATGTTACTTTGTTCTCTCATCTATTATGATTGTCATTTATTTAGTAGGCACATGATACATGTTTTCCTTGTAAAGTTAGAAGTGTGGGTCTATTCTGAAATGTGGTTTTAAGACTACATCAGGGGCAGAGGGATGTATGTTGTGTCTCACTGTTTCCACTGCAAATGTTCTCAGTAGGCAAGTGAAAAGATGTTTTCTCTAATTATTAGCTCTGCAATCAACATACAGTCTGAGGAGCAGCTCCTTACTCTACTAGATCCCCTTTAAAGGCAGCTGGGAATTCCCCACTGTGTGTGGGGACTGCAGGGTGGTTTAAGACCAGTGTAGTTAGCTCTAAGCCTGGGGAGGCATGCTGAGGGCAAGTGAGGGTGTGAGCAAAGTCCAGCAGTAGGGGGCTATTATAGGCTAGCACAAGCTAGAGCAGCCCTGAGGATGCTATAACTTTTATCAGGGGCCAGAACTGGCCCCCAGCTGCAAACAGGATTGGGGGAGCACAAAGATAGGTCAAAGCCATCTTGGCTGATACTTTCTCCGCCACGTGTGCCCAACATTGCTTTGGCATGCCTGAAGATCTGATCCTACTGCCAAGCTGGGCACTTTCGCTGATGTGCATCAGTAAAAAAGGTTCTGCAGGCAAAAGTAGGCTTTAGTTACATCTGCGCAACACCTTTACCTTCAAAGCAATTTGTACAAATGTGAGCCACTGGTTCTCTCACTGGCCCAGGAAGGTTCGGTAAAGAATCGCACAAGTTCTTCTCAGGCCCTAGGCTCAGGACACATGATGTTTAAACATCTACCTTTTCCCTTCAGTGCTTTCAGCCCTCCTTCCTTCCATCTCTCTGAAGGATGATCTCTCTTCTGGCCATCTATCTGGGAGTCGCATGTGAACTGCATTCTCTCCATTTTAACCATAGGACTATATAAAATGATTTGGCGCTCTGGCTAAATCTCCATTGGGGTAATCAAAATCCAAAGGAAGGTACCAATCTTCAGTCCTGGACTCATGCCATATTTAGGCTTTAATAGTCCTCAGTGACATGCTCTGCATCAGGAATGTCTAATTGTGAGAGTGCAGAGGGAGGGAGGGAGCTGCCTGTAGGAGACTTGAAGCCTGGAGCAGGCTTGCTAAAGGAGCCAAGCAGCTGGCTCCCTATAAGAGAGCTGAAGCAGTTCTTGGAGGGAGCTGACTCTGGGAAGTCTGCAAAGGAGCCAGCTTTGAGCAGGTCAGCTGCAAGCGGAACCCCAGAATTGGGCGCCTCCTAAGAACTGATAAAAAGACCCTGTGAAGGAATGCTTTTGCTCCTCCAGGCTCTGAGGTAAGAGCCAGGCCCTGGGACAGACTTCTGGGACTTTGTTTTACTGTTCAGTTCATTTTGTTTGAATCAACCCTGTGATGAGTTCCCCCCAAGTGCCACCTGGAATTGGGATACCACTGAGCTCCCTAACCCACCAGCTTGGGCTCCCTCTCATACTGTACTGCTGTGACAAGCTGCAAAGCCTTCCAGCCTGCACTTTAACCAGCATTCATACAGGTAGGGACAAACCAAGCTGCAGTTACACACAAGGTTTCTAACCACCAGGCTCCCAGCCTGGGACCCCCAGAGCAGTACCGTCCTGCCCTGGTCAAAACTGGCCGGTATATGGGTTTAATACCCAGTTCGCCTCTCCCTCACTGTGAAGAGAACAAGGCACACTTGTGGTAACCAAGCAGAGATTTTCCCAAAGCACTCCAGTCAAAGCTCACTGGTTGAGATTAAAATAAAAACAAGTTTATTAACTACAAAAGATAGATTTTAAGTGATTATAAGGGATAACAAAAGATCAAAGCAGATTACCTAGCAAATAAATAAAAAAATACAAACTAAGCTTATTATACTAGATCGACTGGATATGAATTAGCAGATTCTCACCTTAAGAGATGATACAAGCAGGCTGCAGATTCTTAAGGTGTCTCACACAGGCTAGAGATCCCTTTAGCCTGGGTCCAGCACTTCCCTCGGTTCAGTCTTGGTTCCTCAGATGTTTCCAGGAGCCTTCTTGTATGGCGAATGAAGAGCACCAGATGATGTCATTCCCTCCTTTATATAGCTTTTTCATATGGCGGGAACCTTTTGTTCCAAAGCTTGGTACCCAGACCAGTTTGTGGAAAAATATTGACATCTCAAAATGAAGTCTAGTATCATGTGGCCTAGTCACATGTCCTTGTAGAGTCATAG